ATCAAAGACAAATTAAGCATCAGAGAAAAAGTAAATTACACATTTATTGACTGTTTTATGAGGTTATGGAGACAGTTCATTAAAAAGTCCCCTCAAAAGATGATTCTTCTTACAAAGAGAGTCAGGAGCTGCTAAGTGATCAATAAACATTGGCATATTCACAACAGACTCAAGGCAACTAATGATTAACCTTGTTTTCTTTTCTCTTTCTTTCTTTCTTTTCCTTCCTTCTTTCCTTATTCTTTCTGACAGGGCAGTCTTACTCTGTTACCTAGGCTGGAGTGCAGTGGCATGATCTCGGCTCATTGCCACCTCTGCCTCTTTGGTTCAAGTGATTCTCCTGCCTCAGCCTCCCGAGTAGCTGGGATTACAGGCATGCACAACCACACTTGGCTAATCTTTGTATTTTGGTTGAGACCGAGTTTCCCCATGTTGGCCAGGCTGGTCTTGAACTCTTGATCTCAAGTGATCTGCCGGTCTTGGCCTTCCAAAGTGGTGGGATTATAGGCGTGAGCCCCACTATGCCTGGCCAACAGTGTTTTCATACATTAACATGAATATCTTTGAAGTGTTCAGGAAAAAGACAGAAGGTCATTTTTATAATGGATCAATTCAGGGTTGAGCAGGACCACAAAAGGTCTGGATTCTCTCTGCACTGGCAGTTGGGTTTGTACACATAAACACTTTCCTGTTGGCTTTGGCAAATCCATGCATGCAAATCCCAAGGAAACCAATTATTTCACTGAGTCACAAGATTGGCCTGTGTTTACTTCATGGATCTTGAGAATTCTAACACTATGATTTTCATAAAAGGCACACCTCAAACAAAACTAAAACCCGCATACACTCAGGGACTGAATCGAAAATCTCATTGCCAGAAAACACGCAGTTGAATGTTTCTCCAGAATTCAGAACTCTACTGAAAAGGAGCTAAGTATTCTCTTCTAAGCGTGTCTATTGTTGTTTATAACATAATAAGTTTCAGTGGGACTTATGTATAGCAATGTACAACATCATTTTATGTCAAATTGAGGGCCAAAATATTTTATTGTGTAAGTTACCTCAAGGGAACACCTACTTCCATTTTCCCCAATGTCCTCAAAAATTACCTGCAAAAGGAATAAACTAATTTAATGTCTTCTTTCATAGGGAAAAAATGAACTTTTCATATGAAAAGCGCCTGGTGCATGTCATAAAGTAGGACAATCTAAAATAAACTTTTTACATTGTGACTGGCCACATTTGGTCCCCTACCAAATATGGACCAGAAAGACTGAAGGTAGTGGCTCACAGGCAGAATTGAAACAAATCTTTAGCCTGAGTTTGATTGAGCCATATTCTCCTATGACTGCTGTTGCAGTATGGTAAAAATGTCAAGAACTCCAGATGACACGCACATTATTGAGTAAACTGCTGGCAAAGACACACTGTGAGTGAAGTTTTCTGAGTAGTTCGCTCTAAATTGAGCCAGAATAACTACTACTTTGCCACTGAAAAACTGTTAACTTTAAGCCATTAGCTTTTCAAATTTCTTTTGTGGAAAGATTTGCAAAATATGTTTGTTACTTTCAAAGTAGTTGTTTGTTTATCAATGTCTTAGAAAATTATACTGATATGATTGGGATTGATCAAGGTTCAGAATAGCTCAAAATAGTAATACCCCAGAGAAAACAGTAATGTAAAAAGAGCTTCCTCCCTGTTAATAACAAGATTGTGAACATTAAGCACATTATTACTTTAGTTAGAATAAGTGGATGAAGAGAAAGTAATTATATACAGCAACATGGTGAAAGAAATGGAAGAACAGGAAGAAATATAATGTCATGTAGCATATACATACTTTTGGTGGCAGCAAAAAATCAGCCATGATCAGTTTCTAGTTAAAAAACTTCATCCCATCTGTACATTAGTTGAGGGAGGAACTCTATGCTCCTCAGTAACCTGTGGCAAAGTTTGGCATGCTTTCTTCTTTGTAAGACGGTTACGATTGTCTTTAATATTACCTGCTGCAACGTGCGCTCAAGTTCCTCATCCAAAACCCAGTAATGGAACCGTTCATAAAGTTATAGATGTCACAAAATCACTCTCTCTTCTTATCTTTCTGAATGAATGGAACAGACTCCATGGACTTGTTTTGAAGATTCTCTTGATTAGTTTCATTTCCTGTTTCTTATTTTATGTCTACGTTTGCTAACCTCCCTCATATCTACGTCAAGATTCAAAGGCTGTATCAGTGCTAGATGTGGAGAGGGATTATTTCAAAGCTAGTGCTGTTGTAGCTCTGATCCATGCCCCACAGTTAAGGGAGCATGAGCGACAGCTATGCTTGCTGGCCTTTCCTCACCACCCATTTATTAAACCTACTTTGCTGCCCTGTGCTTTGTTCTTTCTTCACATGCCTCACATTTGATTTTGTCGTTTCACTCTACTGTCTATTATTGCTCCTTTTATCATTGTAATTTCTCTTTATTAACCACTATGTCTTACCATGTCAACACTCATGATTTATTTTTTTTTATCAGTAAAGTCTCAGCTCTAAGGTACAACGTTTTTTAGTCAGGAAGAAAGACCCTCAAGAAATGCTTTGGTTTGACATGAAACCAACACTCTTCAAGGGCAACCTTCAAATCCAGACATGAGAAGATGGTCACAGAACAACCTCATGGATGAAAATTACAGAGGAATTCATCATGGTACCTATTTACCATAAAAAATGGAGACAACAGATCTACTAAAAAGTCATAGAAATACTGCAGATCTCTTTCCAAGGGGCGAAAAAGGAATAAAAAATTGTTATCAACATGGCTGTAACACACACTGTATGATACATGTCCACCCAATTGCCATTTCCCCTCTGTTTCTTTGATGATAAACTATCAATTTTGTTCAGGTACCCGATGACCACGGACTTGAAGAGAAATTGAATTCTCTCTAGTCTTGGGAATGAATCTTAATTACTCTAAACCAATCATGAAATTTACTCCCTATTGTCCATGATTGGTTTAAAAATGAGAATATGAGGCATGTAGCCAACGAGGAAACACCAGCTGGGGGAAATGTAGGAAGGTTTTTCTCAATCCCAGAAAGGGTTACAAAATGAAGACATTTGCTCTATGGCCTTTGAGTGGTTTTGTGTAAGGTTATGATGCGTGGAGCTAGGGCAGCTATCTCATGACCGTGAGTTTATAGCCTGGGGCTGGAAGGCAACAACAGTGGAAATTATAAAAATACCTGGAGATGAAATTGTTAAGCCAAGAAATTAATCATTGCTAGAACTATGGTACCTCTGAATTTGCAGTAACCTGACTTACTAAATACTGTAACTGTTGAAGCCAGTTTCAATTGGGTTTATTGTAAAATTGCAGCTGAGTGCACCCTGACTGCTAATCAATTGGCCAAAAGTTATTAGTTCTTTTCATGTCCAGTTATATCCAGAGAAGTTTAAGGGTGCTTTCACATTTACTGAGGTTGATTTTAATCATGATGACCTAGAGCAGTAACATGAAAATCTTTGTATATATGGGTTATTTGTACTGACAGTTGTGTAATTTAAACACATTCATGATTTTACACTCACATTTTACCTGTAAGTAAAATAGTTAACACTTTTGACCCAAAACACACACATGAAAAAAAAGCAAAATAAAACTCTGAAAGAAACCTATTCTCTAAGATAAATGTTTTTAAAATACAAAAACTAGCTGAGCCATCAACCAAAAGCAAATTCTATTATGTCAATGTACAAAGTAATAACAAATTTAAATCGAGACTGCATAGATTGAAAATGTATGTATATGAATATATCACCTGGGACTGATTCTTTTTAAGTTATTTCTTAAATTTCAGTCAAACTGGATCTTTTGCTGCAAATATCTGAGCATTTTAATATCAATCCTGATTTGAAAGTATAGTAATTTCTGAAATTATGTTAAACTTTATTCTACTTTATTAGTGCATAATTAACCTATGTGGATGACTGAGAAGATCTACACTACATGTTTATAGGAGAAACTAAGAATTAGCACTGTATTTAAGTAATTATTAATTCTTGCTTGAGAATCTATATTGCCAACCCTAAAAACTTAGAAATTAAAAATGCTAAATAAATATACAATAAATATGAAAGCAGAAGAGCAGAAATAACCATGAAAATATGTTTAGAATTGTCCACAAGAAATCTATAAGAAGCAAATTGGTGAATGAAACATACAATTAAATAAAACTTTAGAAATTTGAGGAATCAAGAAATACTGGTGTAGAATGGCAGCACTTTTTAAAGTAGATATTTTAAACTCAAAATAGAAGGGCAAGAAAATTGAATAACACAATTTCCACAAACAGAAAAATATTCAGTGATGAATCAAAATGGAAGGAATGTTCTAAAATTGAGATGCTATTTGCTAACCCGAAAGTATTTGATTTAAAGATATTCAGTTCACTCAAAGTTAATATTCATAAAACAAGTAATTTTAACCAAACAATGAACATAAGATAATTTTGAAGCAGAGCCATCAACTGTTACTATGGGGAACAAAAGATTTGCTTTTCTCTGGTTTGTAAGACTATTTTGCTGGATAAAAACCAGAGTGATTTTGGTGCAGGGCATCCTCTGCTGGACAGAGGGTGGCATTACAACATTTAATCAGCTATTCAGAACTGAAGTTTACTTAGCAGTAACCAAACTGAAGGTTTACCTCTGATTCTCCAAGGGAAAAGGTACTATAAAAATACCTTTGCCTGAGCCACAACCCAGACTAATCAAAGCCAAATCTCTGGAGGTGGGTTCTGTACATTTGCAGTTTTTAAAAGCTTACTAGGTGGTGATAAATGCTCACTGAATATTGCTATATTTTTACCTTCATTGAGAAAGATACATGAGTTTCGTATGCAAGAACTGATCTGAGACTGTGTGCAAGGTACTTACATGAACCCGGAAGGTTTTATTCTTACTAAATGGAAACCAAATAGAATAATCTTTATTATGATTCAGTTCCGTTTACCTTGGGCTTTTCATCCAGGATCTGCTGACGTATCTCCTTGTGTTTCTCTACGAGTTTTTCTTGCCGTTTGCTTTGCGCCTCTTCTAACTATAAGAAAAGTTACAAGGAACATCATTTTCTAAACATCTAAATTAAAAGTGCACATTTTCGGAAAATATTGAAAGTTCTACAGATCTGCGGGTTACATGTGATTATTTGATCTCTTGATCAAGAACTACACTTACAAGTATAGGAGACTATAGTAAGTGTTGAAGCTGGTGACAGAAACATAGGGTGGGAGGTAGTGATCAATGGACTGGACTGTTCTTTCATTTTTATAAATATGTGAACATTTCTATGACATCAAATTACAAAAAAAAAGGACAGTCTTTGGAGGTTGCCATCATCTCTATCATTGATGACAAAGGTTCTTTCGGGAAAACTCTCATTTACAAGATGTTTCTGGGCTCTTGACTTTGGAAATGACCCTTGACTGTCTATTTTTAGATGAACCCTTTTACATAGCAGTTTGCAATTCGACTTGCAGAAAATGTTGATTAAGGAGTGCCCACCCCGTGAAGCAGCTCTATGACTAGCAGGTGCTAGAGATAAAAAGACATGACAAGGCATGACATTTCCTTCCAGAAGCTCACACTGAGCTCACCAAATGTGCACAGATGGTTTGCAAAGGAGAGAGCGTGATGAGTCCACATACCCTCTTGATGTACTGCACCACTTCCTGGATGTATGACCGAATCATCTCTGTCTTCTCCCTGAAAGCAAATGATGAATACATCATTATACCAACTCATCCAAAATCGACAAAGGGGAATCTCAGACTTATGGATGAAAGGTTACAGAACTCTCAACATTCTTTTTTTTTTCCTTATTTTTATTTATGTATTTATTTGAGACAGGGTCTCGCTCTGTTGCCCAGGGTAGAGCGCAGTGGTACCATCATGGCTCACTGAACCCTTGACCTCCCCAGCTGAAGCCATCCTCCAGCCTCAGCCTTCTGAGTGGTTAGGAATACTGGTGTGTGCCACCACACCTAGCTAATTTTAATTAAAAAAAATTTTTTTTTGATTGTTTATTGTTTGAGACAGAGTCTCACTCTGTCACCTAGGCTGGAGTACAGTGGCATGATCTCGGCTCTGCCTCCTCTGCCTCCTGGGTTCAAGTGATTCTCCTGTTTCAGCCTCCTGAGTAGCTGGGATTACAGTCATGCGCCACCACCCCTGGCTAATTTCACATTTTTAGCAGAGACAGGGTTTCTCCATGTTGGTCAGGCTGGTCTCAAACTCTTGACCTCAGGTGATCTGCCTGCCTCAGACTCCCCAAGTGCTGGGAATACAGGCGTGAGCCACTGCATCCAGCCAATTAAATTTTTTTTTAGTAGAGACAAAGTCTTGTCATGTTGCCCAGGCCCCTCTTGAACTCCTGGCCTCAAGCAATCCTCCCACCTACACCTTTCAAAGTGCTGAGACTACAAGTGTGAGCCAAAAAGTTCTTATCACTGTTGTAAGAAAGGTATAATCTGCCAGTCTCAGGACAAAAGTCAGGTTCCTCCCAAGGCACTGGCTCTGTTTTCACTAAATGCCAGGAAGGTTATATGTAGGAAGTGAGGATTTAGCCTTTCCCTGAGGGAAGCTTTTTGCTTACTCTTTATCTAAAAGGCCTGAGGTGTGCCCAACTACTCTTTGTTTGAGTCTTCCCTGTTAAAAATCTTACCAAAGGAATCTTTTGAAGGCTGACTAGAGGAGAAACTTCAAGGAGGGGTCTTTAACTGGTTAAGAACCTGTGACTCTGATGTACAGAATTCCCAGGTAAACTGTTGGAAAGAGGGGGCACTTGACTTACTCTTCCATCTGACTTTTGTCTTTGGATTTAGCTTCTGTTATCTTCTCTTGCCTCTTTTTATCCATTTTCTTCTTTAATTCTTTCTTTTCTCTGAAGTCACAATGGAAGTAAAAGAAAAAAAGAGGCAAATCAGATGGGAATTTGTGTTGAATACATTTAGATGCACATGTCAATTGTAATGGGAATGAAGGCTTACTTCTCACAGATTTCTTTGAGCTTCTTTAACTGATTGTTCTGACACTCTTCTGCAACATCCGTCAACTTTTGAATAAGCTGGAAAAAGAAAATGCCAGTTTGCTATTTCAAATGGTCGCAAACAGAGCTTCCTCCCCCCCTCCCTCAAACAACAGAATCTACAGTTAACATATCTGTGATGGATGTTTCACAATAGTTAAAGTTGCCCGACATCTAATATTGGCAATGAGGACACTTTAGAACCATCATGTTATCTAGGCTTATGAGTTTTAATACAAAATTATTTTTCTTTTTTTTTGAGATGGAGTTTCGCTCTTGTTACCCAGGCTGGAGTGCAATGGCGCGATCTCGGCTCACTGCAACCTCCGTCTCCTGGGTTCAGGCAATTCTCCTGCCTCAGCCTCCCGAGTAGCTGGGATTACAGGCATGCGCCACCATGCCAGGTGGCCTTTTAGATACAGAGTAAGCTAATTTTTTTCTATTTTTAGTAGAGATGGGGTTTCACCATGTTGACCAGGATGGTTTCGATCTCTTGACCTCGTGATCCACCCACCTCGGCCTCCCAAAGTGCTGGGATTACAGGCTTGAGCCACTGCGCCCAGCCTGAAATTCTTCTTATTATCTTTAATTAAACAGAATTCATTAGATTGTTGTGGCAGTTACTATAGCCCAGCTCAGTGAGAAGACAACTTACAGTGTAGAACCTGGTTCCAATCTCTACTCTATGACTTATTAAAAGTGAAATTTGGGGCAAAACGCTACATTTTCAGAACCTACATTTTCTCAGTTGTAAATGGGATTATCACTGCCTTTATATCTTGGAGGTACTGTGAACTCAAAATAAAAATACGTATGACACAAATTAAGTTATAATCAACAGTGAATTATAATTCTTGGCTCACAACTATCATTCATTGTTGAATTGCTATGAGGCTGACATGAGTTACCCATCTTAGAAGCTGACATTTATGTTCTTGCTTGGGTAATGGCCAGTAGATGTAAAGAACATCAGAAATTCTCTTTGTGCTGTCATTGAACTGTCTGTCACTACATCACTGTGAACACAAGTGTTTATTGTCTTACCTGTATTACCAAAGCAAGCCTCAAGGGGGCATCAATGGTGTTTTTGTATATTCACCTGATGCCCAATAAGTGTTTTGTCAATCAATTACATAAAGGTACTTCTGACTGCCAATCTTTTCCTTTTTTTCACATGAGGAACTTGAAGAACCTTCGGCAAGGTTTTCAGTTGGCTGTAGCAACTGGACTCAACCTTTCTTACTGGAGCACCAAATTGAAGGTGTGGACAACCTCTGAAAGGCCCCACTGATCTTCCCATAGATGGAGATTCTCTTTCCCCAAAATATACAAGGCAAGCTGAGTTGACTAGTCTTATATAAGTGGTAGCTGTAATAGGGACAAGACAAATCATAATACCACAAACTCTTGAGACAGCCAAGTATAAGGGGGTCCCCGGAAAAACTCCAACTGTCCTGCTCACTGGGAGAAAGGCACACTAGGGTGGAACCACAGAAGTTCACCCCGTCTGCAGCAGGGAGGAGCCTGGCCCCTCCTCTTCCTGGGTGGAACCTGGAATTCGATCTCTGAGGTGGGAAGCACACTAGCAGGGACTCTGGCCTTGCAGAGAGTCCCTGTTTCCCTCTTTTCCTTTTCACACAATAAAACCCTGTCCTCCACACCCTTCAAATTGTTTGCAAGCCTCCTTCTTTGTGGCCATGTGACAAGGACCCTGACTTTACCTGAACTAAGGAGAGGCTCCTACAACATTTCCATTGATAATTTCTATATGCCAGGCATAGTTTTAAAAGATTCACATGTGCCTGTAATCCCAGCACTTAGGGATGCCAAGGCAGGTGGATCGCCTGAAGTCAGGAGCTTGAGACCAGCCTGGCCAACAGGTTCTACTAAAAATATAAAAAAATTAGCCAGGCATGGTGGTGGGTGCCTGTAATCCCAGCTACTCAGGAGGCTGAGGCAGGAGAATTGCTTGAACCCAGAAGGCAAAGGTCACAGTGAGCTGAGATCGCACCATTGCACTCCAGCAACTCTGGGCACGCTCTGGGCTACAAGAGCAAAACTCCATCTCAGATCAATCAATCAATAGATTCACATGTATTTACTTAATTCTGAGAGTTGCCCTATTCAGTTGGTGTTATTATTTTTGTTTTGCATATGAACATGCAGACACACTTGGCTCAAGTTCTGGGCTCAGGGCCCCAGAGCTGGTAAGTGGCTGAGCTGGGTAAAAACCCAGACAAATAAGGTTCCATGGCTTGTAGGAGAATTGCAATACGGAATCCACATTCATTTAAAATTAACATGAAATTGGATGCATTCATCTGTGAAGTAGATTAAATCTGAACAAATATTAACTAGGGCTTCGGTCAGCAGAAAGCTTATTTGATCATCTAAAAGGGATTGCCTAATCATGATTATCACAATTAAACAAATCATGAGGCATTACTTTGTAGTCATGCCATTTATCAAACTGTCTCGATGTAAAATTTGAATGTGCAAAGACTCTGGCCATTTGCTTGGGGTCTCCTGTGAAGCCTCTATCTAGCTGAAAGTGTCCTCTCACCAGCACCTTCCCTTCCCTAGAGGGCCTTTCTCCTCTTCCATTCACTTGAAGGAGTTACTGAGGGTTATCCAGGGATCTCCCACCTTGGCTGCATCATCAGTACCACTTGGTGGAACTTCTTAAAAATACAGATTCCAGGACCTATGGACTTCAAATGTCTAGGGGTAGGAACCGGGAATCAATATTCTCAAAATCTCCCCAGGTGATCTGGATGCCTTGTGCCAGACTTGAAGTCGGCGGGTGTCTTGGTGGACCCGCCCTCATTCTGCAAGCCACTGCTAAGTCTCCCAGCAACTCTTTTGAATTAAATAAAAATTATATTTCTGTTTCCACGTTCTCATCTCTATCATTCACCTGACTTCAGAATATGTTCTTGATCATGCCAGCATCTGCTCATATTTACTGTTTTCCTTCCACCTACTGCCCTCATCCTCGGCAACATCGGCATCCGGTCAAGGATGAGGCTAAGCTTGAGAATTCACAGCCCTTCTGCCCACTCAATTCTGACTTGTAGGTTGGTTTGGTGTCAGGCTCCACACCACTGTCAGCACCACACTCCCTCCAGGCTCCCCAGAAGGTCCCCATCTTCTGGGTCTGCTTGCCTCCCTCTTGGCACACCTCCCACCCCCTGCATTTACTCGTACAACTACCCTTGCAGAACTAGTTCCCACCTCCGGTGGTCCCAGAACACACACTTATCTAAACTATTAGATTCAGCCAGGATGCAATGATTATTTACTAAGCACCTACTAAATAGCAGGCACTGTTCCAGAAACTCTGAGCTGATGACCTGGCTTTCTAGATCTTGCTACTCAAAGTGTGGTCCGTGGACCAGTGGCATGAGCATCACCAGGGAACAGATTAGAGAAATGTAAGTTCTCAGGCCCTACCCCAGATCAACTAAGTCAGAATCTACAGGTTCAAAAAAATTCCCAGGATATCTGAGAGCATGTTAGAGTTTGAGAAACATTGTGTAGGTGGCTGTGGAAGATGGAGACAATGTGGAAAAAACCATTTCAACCTCTCTCGGCCCTTTTCAACTTCTCTCTGCCCCTTGCCTTTCTAAGCCAGCCTTAGGTGATTCTCCCCTTTGATTGCCCAGATAACTCTACGTCTTGCTCCCTAATCGGCTTTCCCTATAAGGTATCATTTACAGACATACCTGTTGTATGTAAATACCTTATTATTGCTCCCACAAAGGATGTTACCATTTCAACCTTTCATTCTCAATAAATGTTTAGAATCCCAGGATCTATAGAAAATAGGCACTGAAGAAATGATTGTGAGTTACATCTTTTAGGTTTTTTTTTTTTTTTTTGAGATGGAGTTTCACTCTTGTTACCCAGGCTGGAGTGCAATGGCGCGATCTCGGCTCACCGCAACCTCCGCCTCCTGGGTTCAGGCAATTCTCCTGCCTCAGCCTCCTGAGTAGCTGGGATTACAGGCACGCACCACCATGCCCAGCTAATTTTTTGTATCTTTAGTACAGATGGGGTTTCACCATGTTGACCAGGATGGTCTCGATCTCTCGACCTCGTGATCCACCCGTCTCGGCCTCCCAAAGTGCTGGGATTACAGGCTTGAGCTACCGCGCCTGGCCATCTTTTAGGTTTTAAAACTACACTGAATTCAACCTCAGCGATAGCTATGAAAGCTCACATTCAAGCCACAGGCTGCCTTACTGAAAATACCTTTACAAATATATAGGTTTGGTGCTTAACAAGCTAAGTTTTGTTCCTTTAGGAAAAAGCATCTTAATGTGAAATCCAGGTGTATTTTTTAAAATGAGGCTTTTGCATGCAACTAAATGAAAATGGTGCTTCCCTAGAATCCCAAAGAGTGTGTGTTTTACAAGGACATCTCTGTGTTTAATATGTAAAATATGTAAATATCATTTTACTGTGCTTACCTTCATCTCCCCCTACTGGCTTACTACACAGCCTCACCTCTGTCCATCTCAGCTTTTTTTTTTTGAGAAAGAGTATCACTCTATTGTCCAGGCTGCAGTGCAATGGTGCAATCTTAGCTCACTGCAACCTCTGCTTCCTGGGTTCAAGCAATTCTCATGCCTCAGCCTCCTGAATAGCTGGGATTACAGGCATGTGCCACCATGTCCAGCTAAGTTTTGTATTCTTAGTAGAGACGGGGTTTCACCATGTTGCCCAGGCTGGTCTCGAACTCCTGACCTCAGGCCATCCGCCTGCCTCAGCCTCCCAAAGTCTGGGATTACAGGTGTGAGTCACTGAGTCTGACCTGAGCTATTTTTTAGAAGACAGTCACTCTTACTGTAATGCTGCCCATACGGCATTTACTATATTTATTTAAACTTTGTCTACTGAAGCTCCAGGAGATAGAATAATTAACATTATGATTTTGTCAATATTAAATAGTATGCTACTACATTAAACTGGCAATGGGATTTTATATGTGCATCAATAATTTATCTTATTTCATGCTACAAAAAGAGGATTTGGAG